GTGTGTGGGTGTGTGTGTGTGTGTGTGTGTGTGTGTGTGTGTGTGTGGTGTGTGTGTGTGTGTGTGTGTGTGTGTGTGTGTGTGTGTGTGTGTGTGTGTGTGTGTGTGTTGTGTGTGTGTGGTGTGTGTGTGTGTGTGGTGTGTGTGTGTGTGTGTGGTTGTGTGTGTGTGTGTGTGTGGTGTGTGTGTGTGTGGTGTGTGTGTGTGTGTGTGGTGTGTGTGTGTGTGTGTGTGTGTGTGTGTGTGTGTGTGTGTGTGTGTGTGTGTGTGTGTGTGTGTGTGGTTGTTGTGTGTGTGTGTGTGTGTGTGTGTGTGTGTGTGTGGTGTGTGTGTGTGTGTGTGTGGTGTGTGTGTGTGTGTGTGTGAAGCTAGACTGGGCGTGTCGAGTTAGGACGAAACGCCGGCTTTCGCGGCGTATTGCCCAGTAGCACAGGTGTCTCACGTGAAACAGTTCTTTTAGAAGAATTTTCCAATTGGATTTCAAACTTGCTAGACATGTTAAAAAACCTTCTGTTCTACGATATTGAGGCCATGTGTTTTTATCTTCCCGCGACCTAGGTGATTTATTAGTGCACGTTGTGAGATGTTGCTCTCGTATTAACTCGCACGGCATCTCATTACATCCGATTTCGATAAGCATTCGCTGTTCACAGTGCTCAGGTCATACGGAAGCTCGGCAGTTTCGATTTCATCGCGGTCAGTACAGCATGTTTGGTGGGCGTGAATATCCTCCCCAGACGTGCAACGAGTCCGTCGGACCGGGTGGACCGTTCAGACTGGTTGGTGTGCTGCCAGTAGGCTCCAGTGGCGAACGCCACACGTTAAGTGAAGCAGTGGTGCTTACAGCCTCGACCATCTCCTCATGCCTGAAATCAGATACAGACAAAAGGCTAACATAGTAATGTTGGCCTTATTCCACGTAGAATAGTCAGGATATGAGAGGGAAAAGGAACCGGAGGAAAAAAAGAAAAAGGAAATGTTCTTACATCAAGTGGAAATTGATCAACCTTCGGCGATCCAGCTTCGCTTTCGATGCGCAGCGATCACTGATCACTAGTCCCGGGCACTCATTGCATTTTGCAGCGTATGCTTGGGACCGCCTTCAAAGGTGACGCTTTCACTGCAGTGGATAACCTCTCCGTGGATTTATACGCTCATTCCCGACGCAAAAATGGCATCAACTGGACATTTCATTCTCATTACAGATAAGATAAGTAGGACATAGCTCTCCAGGGTGTTAAAAATAGTTAAGTTCTCTGCATTGAACATATATTAGCGATCACGCTACTAAAGATACAACACATAAAAACTTGGTGTCGGCACATGACCCAGAACCAGCATACCGATTCATGTACCTACGCGCTAGAGTTGGCAAGGTTGTTTGGCAGAGCTGCCCCCCAACCGGTTGCTGCATTGCGGCAAAATCCGGCATTGTCACTTTAGACACCCCCAAGACATTGAGAATGTAGGCAAATGGAAACTTTTAAGTTAACAAACCATTATTGTGTGTAAATGTTAGCGTTGGATTCTGTCCCAAATTTGACCACGTGTATTCCGTCTCTGGCAGTACCCATGCTTGGTGACCGTGGCATCATATGCAGAGTTGGTTCAAATGCACGTGTTCATTGCAGCTTCGATAGGAAAAACGAGTATTCGCGGCACGGGCCGAAGCACGGATTTTGATTGGGTGGGTGACTTTGAAGGGGGCATGCCTCGACAAATTAGGGGCCATTTCACAGGGGGCACACTTTCGTCAGTGCCAGATTTCAAGGGAAACGGATTGTCAAAAACATTGACCCCTTTATCCAACTGCTGACATGCATCATATCCGACTAAGAAATGTCGACAACAACACCACAAACAACAGAATGAAAGCCCTTTAATAATTCACTTAAGGTGTCAGGAACCAAAATTCCCATTCACGAAGGAGCCTCTAAGTCTTGCCAAGGGACTGGTTCGTCGCAAAACAGGACACCCTCATTGAGAACCGCACTCATCTGATGCGCGAGAGGGACTTCCTGTTCTAGAAACAGGGCCTTCGAAATATAGAGAATGTCTTCTAATTAAGAAAAGGGCCTCCTTATTCAAACAGAGGCCTCTAGAGGCAGCAAAGAGTGCCTCAGTCAGTACACATCATTTGGGCCTTGATAATCTAGAGTATGGGCTACTTTGTTTCATGAAAGGTGGCCCTCGTGGATGCAGAAACGAGGTTGTAGAAGAAAAGAAGGTCTTCCGAGCCCGATTTGTTGTTCTTTCGCCTCAGTTTATAGGGCCTCTCTGATCTAAGCTGTGGGTATATAATATGGGTGGTTGCTGTGTCTTTAGTTTGGAAGAAAAAGGGCTTCCTTTTTGGGGAGGCGGAAAGCAAACCTACCCTTGTTTCCCCTGCCCGCCGGCAGCGAGGAACTTCCCTTCCGTCGTATTTTTACCCATGCAATTCCCCCATGGATTCTGAACGGATGCATTCCTCTGAAAAACTTGCGATTTGTGGTGCCAGGTTTCTCTCAACGCTAAACCTGCATTTATCCTGGGCAGCTTTAGGTTTCTGAAGCTTTGTCGGCATGCAGTGAATTGGTAGGAGAATCACAAATTCTGGCGCTCTAGCTGAAACGGCTTGACTATGATCTGTCATGAGCAGAGGATGACCGAATCTGCACACATACAAAACTAGGGCTACCCTGTGCCTGTGGTGAGTGTTTCAGCTTGGTGAAACACTTCACCGAACCTTGACTCCAGGGCGCATACGCTCGAGACTGCCTCGTTAGGCTCGGTGTTCGCACTACAGTCTGCTCGCGGCTGTCACGCTCGTTACATGCCATAAATCAACTCGTTACATGACAGTTGCCCGCGCCGTGAAAAAAAATAGACGACTTGGTGTGATCCCGAGTGCAAAGCAACATCTCGACCCCATGTCCAGGGGCGGATCCAGAGGGGGGCCACGGGGACATGCCCCCCCCCCCCCCACTCTTGGGCCCCGAAGGGGCCCATTGGCTCCGAGGGGCCCGTAGCCGGCCGAACAAGTGCAGTTTTTTAACACAAGACGCAACAAAACTGGATATCTCTGGACTTCCACGCGACCAAGAACAGTTATAAGCGAAAGTCAAGGCCTATGAGAAGTGAAAAATTATTCAATGGCTGGAAAATTGTGAACAGGAAATTTTAAGCCTCATCACACTGTCTAGGCGCCCCACTCTGCTTCCGGGGGACCTATTTACACACTTGCAAGATCATTATGATCGTTAAGGAGTATTCCACGTTACCCTCCATTTCTTAGCATGTGTTCGGAGAGCTCTGCGCTGTCGTTGGAGCCCTTCCTATTAGCATGCCGGGGCACTCTTGTCAGTCACGGGCCCTTCGACGGATTATTTCCATTCGCTAGAAAGGCTCTGTGAGATTTAGCCGGAGTCCCATATCTTAACCTGTCGGGGTATCCCCGGCTGCTTAGGGGCCCTTTACGTGGGGCTCGGTTAACCTACCGAGACACTTGCGATATGCTCATAGGCCCATAGGTCTCATTTGCGGAGGACTCTTCACTCCTATGAAGGGTGGTGTTGTTAACCTGCCTGTGCACTCCTGATCACACAGGAGTATTCATTCATGGTCTTTGATAATTCCCCCTTGCTCGGAGGATCCTGTACTATGACTGGGGCCTTATATGTCAGCCTGCCGGGGTACTACCGATCGTTTAGGGGCCCACCACGTTAGTCTTGAATTCTTTTGCTTGGTCTGGGGGCCCTATTCTTGTTGACGAGAGCCTCTTTATTGGCATCCTGCGGCACCCATGATCGCTCAGGTTCCGTCCCTATTGGGCTTGATGCCCTCGCCTGAGAGCAGCAGTCGTACATGCGCCGGTGAATTTTTACGCGCAATTGCCAAACGTAATTTTACGTGCCGCCGACGTCGTGTCATTTCCATTGGCTATTGAGTATATAACACTTAGTATATTAGTGCATCATGCTCTTAACCTATTTTAAATGCTCGAATATGTTGAACGTTTTTATAACAAACGAAAAATTATGCATTAGTCACCAGCCATCAACTGATTACATCGCTCAGCCGGCTGGCCGTAAATACATAAGCTGGGAATCAAGTCCATGCTTGGTTTTGATGGTTGTTAGCGGCCAACTCAAGTTTATGCTGCGTGTTGTTCCGCAACGCTTGGCCTCAAAATCACAGCATTTAAAATGATCTGTAGAAAATGAGTGAGCTCTATATGTATGAATGCGTAGCACGCCTATGCTTTACAGGGCTGTGCACAGAAAGGTAGATTTCCGTGTTTATTGCATAAATAAAAAAGTAAATACATACATACACAAATGTGTATACCTATATCTATGCCTATATATATATATATATATATATATATATATATATATATATATACATATGTATATATATATATATATTGGATACCACTTTTTCTTGAAATGCATCGTTCGAAATGGAAGGATATTTTTTGGAGGGGCCCCGAACTCCAGGGGGCCCACAATGTTACATGACCCCCCTTGACGAAATCCTGGATCCGCCCCTGCTCATGTCACTGGCCGCTGAACCGAAAGCTTTGACCATAAATACTGTATGGTCAGGTATTCACAATCATCATGACGGTTATTCACCAAAAACATATTCGAATTTGCGTAATATCATTGCCACAATAGAATCTTGTCGCTATTTCATGACTTCCGTCAGCTGCTATGCCAAGGGAAACCACAAGCCAAGGAACTCGCAGCCAACCAACTTGCATGCCATCTCATTTGGGCACATCCGCGTAAATGCTGCACCGGTGGAGATTCGCTTGTTACATTTCCATGACAGGGGACTTTCTAATGCATTGAAGAAAACCATTGTCACGAGTTGCCAAATATGTCATTCAGCTTAGTTCTGTCACCTTGTGCGGGATATCAATTGTTGGCTCGGTTATCTCTGTCCTCGCCCCGCGCCGCACGTGGCATCTTACTGGTTGGGCCGCACCGTTGTCTGTGATCATCAACAAACGGTCATGATGCATAAATAACGTATATTTACACCCGACACTAAATAGCACGTCTTGTGAGCACTACATCATTTATGTTTCCAATGTTCATTATGTACACTTTAAATACAGCCTCGTGTGGAAGCCAGTTTGGCTTCTATGACAGTTCAGCCCTCTTAGTACTCAGGCTTATACGCAGGAGCAGGAGCATACGACGGAGCCGGCTTGTACGCGGGCTTGTAGGCGGGGGCCGGAGCGTAGGCGGGCTTGTAGGCGGACGCGGGCTTGTAGGCGGGCGCAGGCTTGTAGGCGGGGGCCGGGTGGTACTCGGGGAACTGGGCCTCGCCTTCGTAGGTCACTTCAGCGTTGTTGCCGTAGTCGTTGGCGACGTACTTGACGTGCTGGACGCGGCCGTCGGGCAGGTTGACAGAGTAGTAGCCTTCAACGTTACCGTAGTCGTCGGCGTGCTCGTTCTGCGAGAAGACGGCGCCGTTGTAGTGGTCGTTGACGGCGTAGTCGAACTGGTAAGGGCGGGGCTCAGAGTAGTCCTCCTGGTGGCCGTATCCCTTGGCGGGCTTGTAGGCGGGCTCATGGTAGGCCGGGGCCGGCTTGTAGGCGGGCTTGTAGGCGGGAGCCGGCGCATAAGACGGTGCGGGCTTGTAGGCGGGAGCCGGCGCATAAGACGGGGGCGGGCTTGTAGGCGGGCTTGTAGGCAGGGGCGGGGGCCGGCTTGTAAGCGGGGGCTGGGGCGTAAGAAGGGGCCGGCTTGTAGGCAGGCTTGTAGGCGGGAGCCGGGGCATAGGTCGGAGCGGGCTTGTAAGCGGGCTTGTAGGCGGGAGCCGGGGCGTAGGTCGGAGCGGGCTTGTAGGCGGGCTTGTAGGCAGGGGCCGGGGCGTACGTCGGAGCGGGCTTGTAAGCGGGCTTGTAGCTCGGAGCCGGAGCGTAGGAAGGAGCCGGTTTGTAGGCCGGGGCCGGGGCCTTGTAAGCCGGAGCTCCGTAGGCGGGCTCGGGGCCCTTATAGGCCGTCTCAGCGGCGGCTACAGCCAGCAGGGCGGCGACGATGTAGGCCTGGAAACATTCGCCTATCATCAGAATTGTGTACCAGACATTCACCTTCAGTTACCCACCGTGTCGCCACAAATGCTGCAAATTGTGAGAGAGCAGCTGGCACGATTCCTTTGCAACTCTCAAAATACCTCAAGTGATGCCCTTGAGACGCAGCGCTCAGCAAGCAACAAACCTACTGAGCCAATTCCATCGGCAAGTGCACTGAAACCTGGACACGTCGCCAGTTTGCCAAACCCCATACAAGCCGACCGAATTGCATACATTGGCACGGGGTCATTGCATGCATGTATGAGATACCTGTCAAGTGTAAATGCTTGCCAGTCATGCCAATTCTCAGACCACACTTATGAACAGTTTGCTGTGTGCTGCGCCATGCCAACGCTCGCAGAGCTCGAAGCACGAATGACGGGCGGAGCAGGCGCTGCGGCCTGCGGCGCTCGGCTCCCGGCCACCCCCGTCGACTTCGGCCGTATGCCCTGCACATGACCAGCGGCCAGCCTGGACTCACCTTCATGGTGTGACTTGGTGGACCGAGTCTGAGCGAGTGCTGCCCTGCCCCGGCGCCCGGTGCGTTTTATAGTGATAGCTCCTGTGGGGAAGGTCGTCGCTTTTCAAGGGCGGTGCGCACAGTTAGCCCAGTTCTCCATCTCCCGCTCGCCGCCGGCCGTCATTGTTTTGCCAGGGCGGTGTGCCCTGCCGTGTCGGCGTGTCCGGCTGGCTGGGTCAGGCCAGGCCAGTATTGCTGACCCTGCCGTGTCGGCGTGTCCGGCTGGCTGGGTCAGGCCTGGTCAGTACCGCTGACCCTGCCGTGTCGGCGTGTTCGGCTGGCTAGGTCAGGTCAGGTCAGTACCGTTGACCCTGCCGTGTCTGCGTGTTCGGCTGGCTGGGTCAGGCCAGGTCAGTACCTCTGACCCTGCCGTGTCGGCGTGTCGGACTGGCTGGGTCAGGCCAGGTCAGTACCGCTGACCCTGCCGTGTCGGCGTGTCGGGCTGGCTGGGTCAGGCCAGGTCAGTACCGCTGATCCTGCCGTGTCGGCGTGTCGGGCTGGCTGGGTCAGGCCAGGCCAGTACTGCTGACCCTGCCGTGTCGGCGTGTCGGGCTGGCTGGGTCAGGCCAGGTCAGTACCGCTGACCCTGCCGTGTCGGCGTGTTCGGCTGGCTGGGTCAGGCCAGGTCAGCACCTCTGACCCTGCTGTGTCGGCGTGTCGGACTGGCTGGGTCAGGCCAGGTCAGTACCTCTGACCCTGCCGTGTCTGCGTGTTCGGCCGGCTGGGTCAGGCCAGGTCAGTACCGCTGACCCTGCCGTGTCGGCGTGTCGGACTGGCTGGGTCAGGCCAGGTCAGTACCGCTGACCCTGCCGTGTCGGCGTGTCGGACTGGCTGGGTCAGACCAGGTCAGTACCTCTGACCCCTGCAGCACTGCCAGGCGCAGGTGCCGTCCGTGCCAGTGCAGACCGCAGGGCCCCTGAAACAGTCCAGGTCGCCCGCTGCGACCTCTGTAGTGGCCACGCATATCTATCTCACACCCCACGCGGCTGGAAGCTATCCTTCATTGGAGACGGATCACGTCATAGATATTATCTCCAGTAATTGCAGTTTTGAGGCCTCAGAAAGACACAACAGAATTTGTCATTTTTTCAAGCAGCCTCAGGTCTTGTGTTAAGTCGAACGTTGCATGGCCCAATCAATGCCTCACAGCGGTACTCTGATAACATATGTCGTGATATCTGGGATGGTGGTGCAACATAGCCTATCTGGCTCAACAATATCTTGGGTGCGCTCCTCTGCAGCACGTTCCTCGCCATACAATGGGTGAGCGCAACTCTCCCCGCTCCCCGCGTAGCAAGCTCCATCCTCGGAAGCGGGCCCATGGTTTGACAGTTAATATTACCTAGTGGAAAAGTATGACATGCTGCAATAGTTTATCTTAATTTCAGCCCCAACCGGGCCACCACCTGAGCCCCAACTGAGCCACCACCTGAGCCCCAACCGGGCCACCACCTGAGCCCCAACCGGGCCACCACCTGAGCCCCAACTGAGCCACCACCTGAGCCCCAAATGAGCCAGTACCTGTGCTCAGCAGTGATCATCCACTCACAAGCAGCGCCCAAGAATTGCGTAATTCAAGGATCTCTACAGACTAAGAGCGAACCTGTATTGGAACGCGTCTGTTCATATTTCCATTCACATAGATTATCATTTCGAGTTATTGTGCTGTTATGTAAATGGGAGTTACAGATTAAATCACCATCGCTCATTCGAATCAAAACTATATTAATTTTGCACATGCGTCGGTCACACAAGTGCGAAGGTGGCGCGTTGACTGGACGGTGGTCACGACTTCTACCCACGACGGCTGTCTTTTTATAAAAAAAGGATAAACATGAAATATTAAAACGTAATTGTGTTGCTAATAACACGTTTCCGATTAGTTTATCTGATGTGACATCAGCGTTGGCGTGTCTATTCAACATCACAGACAGCATGACAATGCCCGTAAACCGCTCGCTTATGAGATGAAAGGTCATGAGAACAGATAACTTACGCTTCAATGAATAATGGAGCAGTCGTAATGAGCACTGAAGTAATGACATCAGCAGTGATAACATGTTTTCCATATGTCTCCGCCGTCTCATTACGCATGCTTAACTGCGCGCTGCCCTGCTGGGTATCCGGCGGTCAGACGTTGAAGCCCCGGACAGGGTGGAGTTTGTCGCAACAAGTGGCGGAAGAGCACCCCGTGTGGGGCTTATAGTGGTGGGTATTCTTCACTAATGATAGCATCATATGTACATGGCGCATGACGCAAGGATAAAATGTCCGGGTGCAGGCCAATCCAAAGCTTTTAGGCATTTGGATTTGCGGACAACCAGCACCACAAAGTCCTCCATTTTGGTTTATTTCTGTATCGTGGTGCACGCCGAAACGGGAACTATATGTCGCAAGTTTCCTTTCCTTTCAGAAAAGATCCACAGATCGCCGAGATTCGCTCATCAAAAGATCCACAGAGCGCCGAGATTCGCTCATCAAAAGATCCACAGAGCGCCGAGATTCGCCCATCAAAAGATCCACAGAGCGCCGAGATTCGCTCATCAAAACGTGAATACAACATAACAAAGTCACTAAACTGAATGGAATGTCCACGTGATGCTATGTAATGCGGGACTATGGAAAAGCGAAGGAAGCTTTCAAAACACTCTGCTAGTGACTGAAATCAGAATTGCTTGCAGAAGATTAACGACTTATGCCCCCCCCCCCCCCCCCTCTCCCCCGATGAAGATCACAAAATTGCCCTTAAGCTTTCTGGTGAGTTATGTCCCTACCGATGACAATAAAACATCTTAACAATTCATGGCCTTCGTCTCTGAAGGTAGTGGACCACTTGGATATGCTTTGGGTGCACGGCTACCCACGCGTGGGAAAAAGGAAAGGCTGAACGACGGAAGCCTTCGCGTAAACGCTGCACCTGACGTCACTGGTATGGTAACCGGCATGTCGCCTGCCATTTGAGCGTGCATGAATTCCAATTTGTGATGACGGACGTTAAGTGTTTCTCGGACCCAATACTGATCTCGGCGCTCTGATTTACCCGAACTGCACGCCATACTTCTTTAAGAGCAGCCCCTTGGTACTTTGCATGCTATAGATTATGATGGGTCGTCGTGCAACTCCAGACAAGCTTAATGCTCTCCTGACACTGGATTTTTTACATTTTTGGGTTGTTACTCTAAGTCAATTTGGTCCATTAAAATGCATGTTTGGCGATCAATGAAACTAACACTCAATATATCTATGTGTCGCCATCTTCATGTTCGGGTTTTGCGTTTATTTACGTTTATTGTGGACTTAGCCTTAAGTGGCAGCTTAACGGCCACTAAGTTTCTCGGCGTTGTTGGATTCACATGAGTGGTCAACGATCCTGACCGCCCTGACAGGGGCGGGTCCAGCCTGGAGTTGCTTTTTTTTTGGGGGGGGGGGGCAACCGTTCGTCGCCAGCTGGCTGGTGTGGGATCCGAGGTCCAGTGCATGGTGTCTCTCGCGAGTACGTAGTAGGGACACCATTCAATCACCGAAATGCTGTTGAATATTCTATATACATTATGCATGTTTGCAAAGCTCGTAACATGATACATTACTTTCAAGAGTCAACTGGTCGGATGGGGTTTATGAAACGGAAAGAAATGCTTGATAACGCACCATCAAAGTTTAAACAGACGGTAAGTAGACGAAAATTTTATGAAGTTCTGGGAATGTTTTTTGGGGGGGGGGCAAAACATGCTCTCAGAGTTTTTTGGCGGAGCTATGGCCTCGTGCCCCCCCCCCCCCCCCCAGGATCCGCCTATGTGCCCTGACCGCTTTTGCCTTTAATCGTCTTGGGAGAGCCCTCGAAACTGTAGAACACCGTTTCAGTCTTCCAGAGCCCTCGACACTGTTTATAGGCTCGGAGTTATGCCACTGTCTCATTCTGAAACTTCTGTTCCTCTGTACTGAAACCCTTTTGAATGCTTCCGGGTTCTCCGACCGTTTCGGACATCCCTAACCACATCGAAAGTCCTATAGATTCTTGGGTAACCTGTCAGTGTTGAAAGCCTCCTCCTCACTGACGAAACCTCCCAGAGTGCCCAGCGCGGGGGCCGGGGATCGAGATGGAGGAGGTCCGCGGTAACGGCCGCCAATAATCCCGACATGTCGCGGTCGGTAGGACGTGAAGTGCCAATGTAGGTGACTCGCTAATCGCTGACTGTGCCACAGCGGTGACCCCGTTGT